TAGAATACGTTCATGGTAGATTTCCTATACAAAAATCTCAATTTTTCAGCAATATATCTGTTAAAGTGGCTTCAGTTTCAATAAATTTAAAGAAGAATTTGTAATTTACCATGTATTTTGGCCAATTTTTGGAAGTCTCGATTGGCTTCACAAATTGGGGTCAATAATTTGTATACCTAAAAAATGAAATGTATCAAAATATATTGAAATCATAGCAGCTAATTTGTACTATAGATTTGTAATACCTCGTTCATCGCTTCATACATTCCAGCTATTTGAAATGAGTTCGCGGCTTCTTCCAACAGGGCTTTTAAGCCAGTTTCTGTAAAGTGATTGCCGAAACAAATACCTTCATGGCCAGAGCTAAGAACATCATCGGACACGGCTGATTCCAATAAAGTGTTTGGTGTTATGTGTTGAAAGGAAATAGCTCCTACTGGTAGATGTGGCGACTCGAGCATTGATAGATATTCGGCAACTAAAGCAGCACAGTGAACATAACACATCGCTGATTCGCAGTGGTTCGAGCGTTCAATATGTTTTTTAGCCATATTTTCAAGCCATGTCAATCTTAAATCGGGATTATTCTGATAACCTATTGGAAATCCACAAGATAAATGTGGTTTGGTTGACTCAAATTCAATGATGGGAAATTGTGTTTCAAGATCATACCTTTTGCAATGCGATGCATCAAATCGAGTAACATTTCTGGATCTTCAGAATACTCTAAATTCAAAATAAATTAAATTAAATGAATCAATTGATTTTATAATTCAAAAAATTGATATGTATTTCCATACCTTTCATCTTAACGGTATCTGAAAGAATCATATAGGAGAATATGAGTATATATTTAAATTTATATATTTATTATAAATTGTATATGAGATTTGGTACCTGATAATATCATATTTAAGTTGAAAATCAGATCTTTCACTTGCTCAGGAAAACTACTATCCTGCATTTCCTCATCAGATTCTATCATCAGATTGAAAAATGTATTATTGTATAGTAATTATAATGTTTTATAAATAAAATAAATAAACCTGCATAGACCAAAATCGTTTTAAGTGCACGAAGCAAAGCTTGCTCACTAAATGATGCACTGGTGCCAACCAACGACGAGAGAGACATTGTTACTTGCATTTTCACACGTGCAAAATTCTATGAAAACATTTTATTCATCTGTAAAAAAATGTTTAAAAATTAAAAAAAATATATATAAAATACTTCTTACATTTCCAATTTCGAAATTTTGACGAAATAATAGGTAAAGAGAAGCAGCGGCCTGTGAACGAATCAATGGAAGCAGAGAGCCGCAATGCTTTAAAAGTAACAGACACAAATCCGCTAAGCAGTCCATTTCTTCGTCAAACAATAAATTGTGATATCTATAATAAATATATAAATATAATAAATTGTGATATCTGAAATAACAAGGATCGCAATTGTGATACTTGAAAATTAACGCCCTCTGTGTAGCGAACATATTTTGTAAGGCCAGTGTGCTTTGATTACGGGCCAAAGCATGTAATAACACGCGAAGAACTGTTCCAAGAAGATTGTGATGAATTTCAGACTGTGATGCAACTTGAACAATTATTTCCAATGTATCCAAGAGTATTAAAGACATTTCTGTGGACAATGAACCTTCGATGTAATCTGAATCAACGTCATCTTTTGATGGATTGTCTATTTGACTTCTGCAATTTGTAATGGATAATTCGATTAATAATTTTGAAATGATCAAAATCACAATTTTAACTGGTATATTTTTTTACATGCCTGTATGGCATGTGATCCTTTCGCCAACGTAGCTTATCACTGCTCGATTGATCTTTTCGACGATTTATAAAGTCGCTGCGTGCTGAACCAGCAGTGCCACGAATGCACTCTTCTAGACGCTCTTTCATGTCAGACGTTTTCCGAAAACTTTGGGTATTTTGGCGTTTCACTGGATGTCGTTTTTGCCCTTTATATTCGAAACTCGGGATAGCAACATTTATAACTTTTAATAATTGGTGAACGCGATATGGAGTTAGCGATAAAATCCAACTAAACAAAACATTCTTATCCAAATTTTTCAAAATCCAAGCATAACACGATAGTAAATGACGCGTATTTTCTTTACTCAATGATGATTTATTCAATTTTGTTGGCTCTGGAGAAAACGAATATAAACGACTGCCTGATATTGCGTAGGCCACTTCTGAACTAATTGTTGTGGTAGTGACCGCTAAAAAAGATGATATTTATATGGTTTCGATTGTATTTTGTAGAATATAGGTTTTACTATTTTGTGGGCCCTGGTAGTCATCCAAAAATCCAATATGATTCAAAGTGTCATCTTGTTGGTATGAATAAAGCTGTGGAATTGTATCCATAACGATGCCCAAAAGAGGTAAATATAAAACTGCAACGCGGCACCTGTTTTTAAAGAAAATATTAGTAATATATAATTTGATATTGCATTAAGGTTTTTGTTTTTATTTTTGTGTTTATAACTTTTCTTATTATCTAACCGATATTGCATTAAGTTTATTACCGAGTTTCTGGATCCACGTAACGTAAGTCAAAATCATGTGAGGTCATTAAATTACGAACACATCGAATGGCCTTTCCATGTAGTGATGGATTTCTGAAATGGTTCAATCAAATTTTTACATTTCACCGTTGTTATGATAAATAAGAAAAAAATGCTTACGGTATATCCAAGACAGTAGCTAGTTCACTCAAACAAAGACCGACAAGAAAATGTTGTTGCCTGAATTCTGGGCTTAAATCGGCATACAAGGATTTATTTAAGCTTGCCTAAAATACAATCGATTTTGATTTAAAATGAATGCGAAACCTATTTGATGTTCATTTAAAATCTTACCACTGTGCTCATATAAGAATTTTGACTGTTGTTTGAATTTTGGCTTGGAGTTGGACTGCACGGTGCCGAAATCAATGTATAGGGTGTAGCAAATGGTAAATTAAGGGCAACAAAATGCTCATGACTACACACGATACGCAAAAAGTCAATTTTGAAATGTATCAAATCGAGTGACGTTATGCTTTTCGAAATAATGACTTTGTAATAGACTTTGATTAAAATAAATACAAAACCTCGGTCCATGATAGAAAGCAAATCGAATAAGAAAAAGGCCAAACTGTTATTTAATGATTGCGCTAATTTTATGTCTGTGTTATGGAAACCGACAACTTTTGTTGCAACCAAATGCACCAGAGTCGAGAGATCGTCGATAAATTGATGAGGAAATCTATTTTTTCGTGGTGAATTCAATGCTTGTGTTGTATCCAAATGGCAAATCATGCTTTTAACTATTAATTCAAATAGGAACCAGGAATTTCTCATCGATAGTTCAGACGCATTTCCACTTGACATCACCCAATGTAGAGCGATCTCTTCGTGTAGTAAACGTGTTTGCGGTTCAGATGCACGCAAACAATCAAAACTTACTCCACTCGATTCGGGGATTAGATATTCAGATTCATTGGTTCCTGATTTATTGGTCAATGGATGCGGTATTTTGCAATGATATTGTACATAAGTGGTTAATAAACTTTGTCGTCCAGGCTGATCCAATGTTACATCTGCTTGTAGAATCTATTTAGGTTGAAAATTTGAATATTGAAAAATCAATTGAAAACCTAAATTAAGATTAAGACCTTACAGCCAATTTGTTGGAAACCGAACACAGTGCCTCGAAAACAATTGGACCCAGTCCCAAGCATTGATTTCCAATTTTATACATTATCACCAAAAGTTCAATCAATTTGTCCAGAATGACAACCAAATTCTTACACAATGGCTCTAATTCAGATTGTTGAAGTTCAAGTAAAGCTTTTTTCATTTCTCGTTCGATATTCGATTCACCAATACGCGGTGGAATTTTTCCATTCTCCAAATGTTCGCACAAGTTTATGAAGCGATTGAGGAATGGACTTAAGGTGTGTATTGAAGTAACTGCATCGATTTTGACTGTAAACACTGGTCGATGATTGTCTAACCATTTTGTACCTGAGGCAATGACCACAAATTAATTTAAAATTACTTGAATAAACAAAATTACTCAAACTCTATACTTGGGAAGTTTAACTTACCAGGGAGGTGAACATCAGGAGGAATATAAGAATAATTTTCTGGCGGATGTTCAACCATAACCGGCAATAAAAATTCTCCCACATTCAACTTGCCATCATTCAAAATTGGTAGCCACTAAAAAATGTCAATAGAAAAAAATTATCCATCTTTGACTTGACTGCGGTAATTATTTACCGTATATCCAACAGCTGTTTCAACCGATGTTTGTATTTCTTGTATTTTTTTTTGGCAGGAAACATGAAACAATGTGAACAACTAGATTTGGTATTAATGAACAAATATGAACAAATAAAACATATAACATAAAACAAATATAATATGAACAAATATATAAACATATGAACAAATATATTGAACATACCAAATGATGATTTTGTTGTACATAAGCCGGCAATGAAAGTTTGATTTCATCATAAAAATTCGGGCATTTATTGTGATAATTTACCGATGAGAAAGCTAGAAATACATACAATAGTTGATAATAATAATAATAAATAGTTGTATACTTCAAATGGAAATTCGATTGACTTTCGGACCTTCTGATGTGAATTCCGGACAGGAACTTTTTGCAAAAATCAATTTCAACGCATCGTCTGCGTTTTCGCCACTCATTAATTGAACTCTTACCGCAATATTTCGTGCAGAGCCTGCGCGAGCTGAAAAGTTCAACTCTTTGGGGCTAATAAATAATAGATTACGATAAACATAATGTGGATTGAAAATGGGCAATGATGGAAACTCAAGAATCTCTTTGATTGGGCGTGAATTGGCATCCAAATATGGTTCAACTTTAGCCAGTTCTGTAGTCAAGCAATTTGGAATTTGGTCCGGACACGGAGAAATCTCCAACTTGATAGAGCCGGGAATATATTTATATTTTTTCATGACTGAGGCGGGTCGTTTCAGTTCAGGCAAAAATTTGTATAAGTCTTCATCTTTCATTTTCTCTGATTCCTATCGAATTGATATTAAATTTTAATTAGATTTTTTGAAAACTATAGCATTACTCACTTGTTTGAAAAAGCTCGAAACTGTAATTGTTATGGGTCGGAAGTTTTCAATATTGTTAGCAAAGTCATCATTGGTCTCCAACGAATGTCGTTTTTCTGTTTTAAAGATTTCTGTTTTACGCTCCCCAATGAACAAGTTTTTCAGTTTTACAAAGTTTTTATTTGGAAAAATAATAATATTCAAAATAATATTTGATTTGTACTGAGTTTAAACGTATCAATAAGACTAATATCAAATTAATTGCATATTAGAGTGGTTCGAATTTGACATTTTTTCAAGAATCAAAAATCTTACCTCTATAACCTATAGGAAGGTCATAAAAACATGACTATAACAACGAATTCGAAAAAAAAAAACGATTTTTGGTGATGCGCGCTTCCAGGTGGTTTTTAAAAAAATAAAATGTCTTCCGTAAGATCAACTTTTCCAACTTAGATTTTTCAATGCCTGTATGATATCGTTAATATGTGAAAATTTGCAGATGTTATTTTTTTCACAGAAGCTAACATTCTGCAGAAGGTAAAGTATTGGAATCGGTCGAAAAATTAATACCTATAAAAAATGTGTTTTCTGGGTGTTTTTGGGGCCAGGGAACACGAGTCTAGCGTTTTTTCGATGTCCGAATGTATGTGCGTACCCTGTACCCTGTACGCAAAAATTTGTAAACACGATAACTTTCAAACAAGAAAAGTAATTCAAAATCTGACTTCACAGGATGATTGGGGGTGCCGAGGGAACCATTAAATTTTGAGCGACTTTGGTTGATAGAGTGAAGTGTCATGTCTGGTGTGATGCCCATGGGCATCCATGGAAAAATTTTAATTTTTCTTCCAAAAATTTTAATTTTTCTTAAACATCAAAAAATATGTATTGGGGGTTTTTGGGTACGAGAAAACCGAATATGACGTTAGTTTTACCTGTTTGATATCGTAATGAGCTGAAACTTCGCACAGGTTATTTTATTCACACAAAAATAACATTCCGAGGGTTTGAAGAGATTTCAATGCATATTAGGGTTACCTCCCATACAAAATTTTTGCAGGTACCACTCAATTGTATTGACATTTCTTCAAACTTTCATAATGTAAGCTTTTGTGAAAAAAATAACATCTGCAAATTTTCACATGATTACGATATCATACAGGCAATGAAAAGTCTATCAAAAATTATTGGTATCGCAAAACTTATATCAGATTTTCTGCAAAAAATAATATACCGAAAGTTTGAATAAATTTCAATACAAATTAAGTGTACCTAATTAAGCGGATTAGGACTTTGGTCGGCCCTGCAGCGAACTAGTTTTTGGGGGCCCATTGTAAACAAAATTCTATCTATTCAAAAGAAAAAAAAATCCTTCGGAATTTGGGGGCCCCTGGAATCTGCTTCAAAAATTGTATGATAATCCGTCACTGATGTACCTCCCATACATTATATTTATTTTCGAAAAAAAGAAAAGTGCTCAAAATTCATCAAAATTTGATTTTTTTTTTTTAAACACCTTGAAGCGCGCATCACCAAAAATCTTTTTTTTTCGAATTCGTTGTTATCACAGCAATGAAACGACAACAGCAATGAAACAACAGGCGTGCCAATCAAAGTATGTATCATGCGGCGGCCTACGCACGCTTAGATCCAGCTCTTGCGGAGATCTTACGGATCTATCCTATCCAAAACACAATGTATGGGCATATTTCGTGAATTTGGTGAACGTTGCTGGTGTGGCAGGGTTTGCCTTGTTGCGAACGTCTAACAACATGTTTGCCAAGTATGGAGGTAGAACGGAAGCAGCGCGATCTCATCGCACTCCATATAAAGCAATGCAATTGGTTTCGAACACGCAAATGTGCTGCCACCTGGTGTCTCAGAGTTAAGCTGATATATCACACATGCTTCTTGCAAATGCAGAAGAAGAGGAAAGAAAACTGTTTACATAGCGTTGAACTTATAAATTCCAGAGAGCTACAGTGTTCAAAGTGCGATCGCTCTTCGGGAAGCAGTCTCTATATTGATCTCACATATCGAGAGGTAGTTCGGCGCAGTACACGAAGCACATTAACTGGCCAACGACTGTCGATTAGCGATATTAGTGAAAGACACGACTGTCTGAAAGTCGTACATATCAATAACTACCAAGCATTTTGGCTATAATTGTTTTTTTTTTTCTTCATAAAAATCAATATTAAATTGTGATGCTGTATTGGAAAGTAAGGAATAAGCTATGGTTTAACTATAAAATGACATATTTTACTCATTGGATACCATTTTGCATAAGTTTCGTATGAAATTTCTCATGGGTCCAAAAAGACCCCACCTGTGCGCTAACGTTACTGTTTTAGCCTGTGCGGTTAAGGGTTAAACTAAGTACAAATCAAATTTTAATTTTCAATGTGATTATTTTCCCAAATTAAAAAACAAAAACAAAAGTGATCTTAGTGTTAAAAAAGATTTTGAATATGATTATTTTTCCAAATAAAAAAACAATACTGATCTTTGAAAGTTTTTTGCAAAGCATGGCAGTAGTGACAGTTGGGCAACGCAGCATTGAATAATGGCACACATTTGTGTCAGCAACCAATAGGGTTGCTATAGTTCATCTCGCAACCGATGCGAGTGCTTCGTTCGTTTCTTGTCACTGCCGTGCTTTGGTTTTTTGAAAACAAAAGCATTACTCACTTCGCTCTAAAGATCCACGACGCGTAAATGTTCCTATATCGGTGGCTTTCCGACGTAATTGATCAAAACTGCTGGTCGACTGTTTGCGATCTAGACTATTTTCAAATTATAAATTCATCAAATAAATCATTTGTTAATTTAAAATAAATACTAATTCAAATCTGGTAGATAAATTTTACTTTTTCGCATACACCTAGTGTGTAGGGTAAAGTATTGGAATCGGTCGAAAAATTAACACACTCAAAAAACAAGTTTAGGTTTGTTCGGAGAAAATTCTTTCGATTTGCTGGGGACTTTCACCAAAAAAGTGAAGAGCAAAAAAAACGATATTCGGTATTCAAATTAGAGAATTTTTAGTTTTTGAAAGGCAATTGGAAGCTATAACCTTTTCCCATCTTTCTGGCAGCATATGATTTCAGCGCCAAAAGAACTGCTTATTTTTTGAGGTTAGGAAAGAATCAATCCTATTTTTGATACCTTCAGACAAGGCATTCTGCATCTTTCGAAAAAAGTGATAGTTAGAAGGGGCAATGTCTGGGCTATACGGCGGGGCAAAACTTCCCATCCACTATTTTCCATCCACCATATTCCGGTTGAGCAATATGAGGCCGAGCGTTGTCATGATGGAAAATTATTGACTCATGTCTGGTGGCATATTCTGGCCGTTTTTCGTTCAATGCTCTCTTCAAACGGATCAATTGTGTTCGATACAGGTTTCCCGTGATCGTTTCACCCGGTTTTAACAGCTCATAATAGAGGACACCCTTCTGATCCCACCAAATACAGAGCATTACCTTGGAACAATGAATATCTTGCTTGGGCGTTGATTTTGCTCGTTTACCGCGCTTCCCATACGATTTCTTACGGTTCGGGTTTTCGTAATGAATTCATTTTTCATCACCAGTAACAATTCGATGCAAAAACGACTTCCTTGTGTGGCGCTCAAGCAGCATTTCGGACATGCAAAATCGTTTTTCAACGTCTTTTGGTTTCAATTCATGTGGTAGCCAATTTCCTTGCTTTTGAATGAATCCTAATGCTAATTAAACGTTTTGAAATGGCTTTGATTTTGCAAGTTCTTCTTGAGTTTGACACGAATCTTGATCGAGTAATATCTCCAATTCTTCATCTTCAAACTTTTTTGGCTGCCCAGGACGTTCTTTGTCTTCTGTGTCGAAATCACCACACTTTTGAAGTGCGCAAACCAACACTGACACATTCCAACGTCTACAGCATAGTCAGGATAGGCTTCAGTGAGTAAACGATGTGCTTCAGTTGCATTTTTCTTTAAATGGAAGAAGCAAATTAAAACTTCCCGCAAATGATCTTTTGTTGGAACGAAATTCGACATTTTGAACGCAATAAAAAACTTGTATTCACTTTGAAAGATGGAATTTAATAGTTTTTTTGACGTTCTTTAAGATACACTTGTTGTCACTGTCAAAAAAATGGCGCGTATGATACATAAGAAGTTGACACAAATACGACATTTTTAAGTTGCACTACCAATAGCTCGCAAATTACCGCTTTATGTATTCTTAAACACTCAAAAATATGTATTGGGGGGTTTTTGGGTACGAAAAACGCGAATATGACGTTAGTTTTGTGATACAAATAATTTTCGAAGCCTGTATGATATCGTAATAAGCTGAAACTTTGCACAGGTTATTTTTATCACTCAAAAATAACACAATGCATATTAGGGGTACCTCCCGAACAAAATTTTGGATTTTTTGTTCGAAAACGAAAATTTTGTATGGAAGTACCCCTAAATTGTATTAAAATTTCTTCAAACTTTCAGAATAGTTTTTTTGTGTGAAAAAAATACCCTGTGCAAAGTTTCACGATATCATACAGGCATTGAAAAATGTATCAGGAATTATTTGTATCGCAAAACTAATGTCCGATTCAGTTTTCTCATGAATTCATATTTACGATAAAAGATACTTAATAAATGAATTGTGTGGATCACAGTGCGGAAAAGTTCATCTTACGGATTTATATTTTTTGATCGGATGAAGTTTTGCAAAATTGAGGGCACACCCACCCTTTCTGAAATTCAAAATTCTGCTCAGATAGAAATTTTCTATTTTTTACTTCCAACATACCCCCAAAAGGGTTTTTCGAAATACCCAGCCATCTCGCCGACCCTAATATCTATTGAAAATATCGAGAGGAGAGTATATTTTTATTCAGACATTACCCAGCCATATGCGCTGAATAACATTCTCTCTTCTCGATATATTCAATAGATATATGAGACACCCTGTATATGCCACCAATATAAACATAAATGTAAAGTGTATTGGTCATTGTTTCAGATTGTATTAATTATGCAATCACATACACATACACATTGCTCAATAAAATCAACAATCAATCAATCAAACAAATAAATAAAACATAAATTTAGTTTAATTTAAGGAACAATGTTAATAGTTCTTATCATGAAGTCTGGCTACATAGCGTAGACTTCCGTATATGGTCTTACCGGTCCAGACTATTTGATGCTTCATCTTTTGCATTTTCACCACCATCACCGTTGAATATATTGGTTAAATAAATGGCAGTCCATGCAAAAGGCCTTTCATGAAATAAATGTTAAATACATTGTTAATGAATAAAGAATAACTCAACGCTTTATACCATTTCACCACTCGTATCTAATTAACATTCAAAGCTTCAGCCCAATAAAAGCTGTTCACAAATGTAGAATAAATGCGAGTGGAGCAGGTAATATAAAAATGGTACAAAAAACTGTTATAATTTCATAATCATTCTTTGTATACATTCTGTATTTTCCAAGGCGTTCACAGTAATCAGCTGCATTAGACTTTGTTTTTTGACGATATTTTTCTTTGTCTTCTTTTATATATGGTTCAACTGAATCTTTGACTTGCAAAACTTTTTCCAGCCTGTAATTTTTTTTCACAATTTAAAATTTATTTATATTTTTTATGATAATATATTGTACTTTTACCGAATTACGAGAAATAGGTCTTCACTTGGGTGTGAAATTTCGAAAATTCCTGTTCTACTCTGGGTAGATATATCTACATGGGGTACATGCGATGTTAGCATTCTTTTTATACCTTGGGATGTTCAGAAGAAAAGAATGGAAAAAAGGAAAAAAAAAAAATCAATGGAACAGAATGGAATAGAAATTTTTAAATAAGTATGCCTCGGTTTATACATACTTTCCGAATTCATATCGAAGTAAAAATTTTCAGAGATTTTCTTTCGTTCTTTCGAGTCATAAATAGCCATTGATGCGAATATTGGCTCAACTTCAATATCTAGCTTTAATTGAAGACATTTTACTATGAACCGATGACCAATGTGTTCATAGGGCATTTCTGCCATCAATCGCTTTTCAACGAAATCATTGTCGATATCTTGGTGCAGTGTAAAAATCGATTCTTGACGATCTTCTGCACGTCGTTTTTCATTATTTTGATCCATTGTTTCGGCTGGAGTTCGATCTAAAACACCCAATATCAGTGGGTCATTCACTGAACAACGCAAATCGTTCCTCAAATCGAAACTTGCCCAACTTCCACGCGGCGTAAGTGTATCCGTACATGACGATATGGAAGATAAACTTGAAATTGATTGACGGCTTGTCGATAAACTAAACCAGAACGGAAAATCGAGAGATAAAGTTTTAATATTTCATTTTATATTGCAAAAAAATTCAGGCCGCAATTAGTTGTGATTCTATGTGCCAACGTCTTCTATGGGTGACTTTGACATATGACGTTTTCTCTGTCATAGAAGAATTATTCCGAAATCATTATGCCACCACAAACAAATAAAAAACACACACCGATTGACGGCTGATCTTACCGATTGATGGCTGCTTGGCTGCTTTCACTTTTGTACGTCAATGTTTCGTCCAGCGAATAGTATTCACAATCAATTTCGAATTCATGCTGGCATATACTAGGGGCTGCCAGTCGTGTCTCACGAACCAAACACGAACTTGAAAAATGTCGTTGTGCGAATTCCACTACTTTCCTAAAATACAATCGATTTTGAATTTTAATGAACGCGAAACATATTTGTATTTTAATTAAAATACCATGGTCTTGTATAGCTATCAATAGCTTCACGGATATGCATCGGAAGAGTTTTTCTATTGAATTGGAACAAAATATTTTGATTAGCGCATTTTGCGAGCCAAAAATACTACTAAGTGACTTACAGATTTTCTTCGGGAACAATTGGTTCAATTGTACGAATTTTTCGTTGAACCAATTTCATTTGAACGTCGTCGTATGGCGGAAAGTCCAAAATGTGTCGCAATGGATCACGGCTTATAAAATTTGAATGCTGTTGTAGAAAATCTTCATAGTCAATTGGTTCAACTAGCTCAGTGAGCTGGAAAAAATAAAATAAATAAATAATAAATTATAATAAATGTTAAATAAAAATAAAGAGTCTTACGGGAGTAAGACGAACTTTTCCGCACGGTGGTAGTTGCGTATTTTATTAAGCTAGTTCAAAGTAATATTTGTTAGCAGAAGTACTCGCAAAAGATTTTTCACACTTTCATGATGAACCCATTTGTACGACATTTGAAAGTATTCTATTTTCTAACAAAACACTAACATGTCCATAAAGTTTTGGCAGTAAATTCAGGCGTTTATTGCGCCACA